CCACGCGAGGTCCTGGATGGGGAGTTTGGAGGGGGAGGAGTCGGTATCGAACCAGAGGACGGGAGACTTGAGGCGGAGGTCGAGGAGGGCGATGCGGCCCTGGCGATCGCCGGCGGCGAGGAGGAGGTGGGAGCTGGAAGGCTCGGTGGAGAGGAGGTCGCGGCGGAGAGGGAGCGGGGTCCAGCGGACGGAGGTGACGAAAGGCGAGAGAGACGATGACGTGGAGGAGGATTGGGTGGGAGGTGGCATAGGGATGCTGACAACGAGCTGCATTGAGCGGGCGTCGAGGACGGAGATGGAGCTGCCGGAGGGGAATGCGAGGAGGCCGGAGAGGCTGAGGTCGGCGGATCCGAAGTTGTTGCGGCTGGGCGGGCCCGGCAGCATGCTGTCCCAACAGTCCTGGACTGTGGACGCCGTCGAAGCTCTAGCGCTCGACATTGTTGCGTTGTGTCCGACTTTCTTCGTCTACCGCTGCGACTTCAAGCATATCGACATTTCGGACACACAGCGAGAACAACGTTCGGTGTTTTCATCTTTATTTTATATATATAAATATTTGTAAATAGTAAATTAAATAATTAATTGTTTAGAGAAAAAAATGGGATTGAATCTGTTCTATAGACATAATGTTTTCTGTAAGTGCGGTAAAGCATCGTCTACATATTATTTGTTAAAATTATAGTTAACGTAAGGTTTCCTTTTAATTCTTCTTCATTTCTTAAAGTAGTTTTCTCTTTTATTAAGTTTTTTATAAAATGTATTTATTTAAAAAATTATTATTGACACTTTAAATTTTTATATTTAAAAAATATATTTATGAAGAATGCATACTCAGAGTGCCGATAATAATTTTTTTATTTACTTTATTACTGTAATTTAATTAATGCTAGTTAAAATTTGGAATAGTATAAATTGTATAATATTTGTTTATGGGAGCATTTTTGCTCAACGTTAGATAAGTTTGAATTTTGAAATTCGTGTAGTGGATAAGCACAAATCTTTAAATTCAAATTCATCTAACGGTGATAAATAGGGTGGTGAGCATATACTACACTAAATGGTGGTGAGCAAAAATACACTCTTTGTTTATGTTCAAGCATTCTCACAAATAAACGACCTTGTTCTATTCAGCCTCAAGCATTACACTTCGAGTTGAATAATGAAATAATATGCGCTTACTTTCCCAACGATGGAGGAAGTTTTTGGTATGGTTATCCGACCAAAGATTTAGCGAGTTAGACTAAGAGAGGGGTTGATAGGGCGGACCGCAAGGAATGCGCTTAGATAAGTTTTATGTTTTGATCGTACGAGTGATGTGATTCATCCGGACAGAATTTCTCCAAACATTGGGCTTGATGGCATGGTGATGCAGAAGAGAGTCGTCGGAGTTAAGGGTCTAATCCATAACAATGGTCCAATTGAATATGATTCAATAATCCAATGGGCCTGTTTCTGTTGAAAAGGAGATGAAAACAATGTTCATTGAATCGAATTGATATTTTCTTTGAATTTATGTGTCTGGAGAGGAATGATTCGAAGATTCGGATCATTTATTTTAAATTCTACAACCCCCATTAGCTATTCGTCCACGTCACATAAATTAAGGTTCAGATCTCTCTCCCTCACTTTGAACTATTCAAAATTTCTCGGTCCGTCAATTCTTGAAAGCGAGGAATTCCATTGAATCAACATTTATGGCGACCAATTCAGACTATAACTTTCTCTGTGGGCCATGGCAAAATTAAAATACAATGTTGAAATTTTGAATACGTTTGGTACATAAAAACAAACACAAAAGAAACAATGAAATGTTTGGAAGCTTTCCTTTTCACCTGCATGACAAAGATTAAATTAAGGTTTAACAACATTGTGGTCCTGACATTTCACTAATCATTTTGGCAGGGTTGTACGGACAAGTATTCGATCTTCTTTGTGGGGATCCAGATATTAATTAATTGTGTCCTTTTATTATATATTGTGCGACCGGTTTTCGTTAGGTACTATTTATATTCAATTTTAAATTAAAAATTTTAAATGATTTATAACCGCACGATACACGATAAACGAACACAATTGATTGATCATCTAGATCCTCACAAAGAGAATACGGAGAGGATCCTATTCCGGGTTGTACGATTAGGATAACTTTAACAATGAATATAGAGTCGAATGGTATTGTATTTAACTAATTATTTTGAGAAGGTTGTCACAAGTACAACTCTTTTAACCAATGGGATCATCTTCGGATTCTTTTGGTGAGGATTCTAGGGATCTGTAAATCGTGTATGTTCATCGTTTATCGTGCGGTCAGTTTTTGTCAAGTACTATTTGTATTTAATTTTAAATAAAAATATTTAAAATGATTTCTGACCGCACGATGTATAATAAACGGATATGATTAACGAATCTCAAGAATCCTCACAAAAAGGTTCCATCGAGGATATGGATTCCTCTTATAATGAATAAGATTAGAACAGAGTTGGATGAAACTAAAACACGAGTTATGTGCTTTTGTGAGTGAGAATAATGTCCTATAAATAATGTGGTTGAACAACCTTGTTCAAGTTTATTTTTTTAAATTGAGATGAATGTAAGTCCCACGTTGAAAACTTGATAGAACTCCAGGCTTGCTGGATTTTGGAAGTGGTTAAGTCAGAGACAGTTTCAATGTGATTAGTACTAAGTCATAAATCCAAACTTTGAAATGTTGATTTATTCTAGGTAATGGTACTCGTAATATCTATGCATCATGATGTACGTTCTTTACGAAATTAAGGGCTAACTATCCACACTCTTGATATTGTTTCGATAAGCTGTCGGTATTACGAAACAATGGTCAGGTGTAGACCTATCATGCAATATAAGCTCTAGAGAAAGGCAACCAGCCAAAAAAACTAATACGAAAAGAAACATGTGTAGTTGTACTTGAAAGTTAGTTGGCAATTGGGACTGCTCAGAAATTGGAGAGCTGGATATATACGGCAGAAGCAGAAGGGTTCCAAGCCTCATGGTCTACTACAACCACCCACCTTTGCTTTGAGAGGTCCTTTTGCTTTGTAAAGGTATTTAGAGTGTACAGCCATTTTCATAAGAGGACAACACATGATAGCTTTGTAAGTGTGGTTTCATGGCAATGTTCACTAGACCACTCATGTTACCGATTGATTTTACGGTGGAACCCTAACTTTTTTCATGGTATAAGAGTAGGTTTTACCTGCGTGTGAAGCTCAACTACCACACGTGCTTCTTGTCACCCGATTTGTGTTGTCCACATGCTAGGCTTGAAAATTCGCTACAAGTAAGAGGGCATGCTAAGAGTATCAATCCCACATGGGGAGAAAAAAAGAACCCTGCGTATGCTTATAAGTAGTTAAGCTACTTCACATATTGCTAATTGGTCTTATGGCGAAACCTCAACTTTCTTCACTTTTGGCCGTTAGATAATCCCTAACTAAAAATCTAACAACCTAAAACTTCAGTATACAAAATACACCGGAACATACTAAATAATCCACTTTGCTTTGTACTATGTAACTGCACATATATATAAATTATTCCCTTGATTTATGAGTTCCATTAAAATGGTGGGTGAGGAGTATTTAGTTCCAAGATGCTTTCATATTTCTGCAGGTATTCATAAATATAAATTTATGATCGTACTCAAAAAAGGGTGGATGCACCCACTATGACAGTCTAATTAGCTGCCCTTGGATACATCATCCACATAATGGTAGTGCATGTCAATACTTCCATGTACCCGTCATGCCGGGCACAGGTGAACTCAACTCCGAGGGAAATTTTCGTGCCTGGATAGAGATTAGATTATGTCTCGTAATTAAGACATTATCGTAGTGGCACCGCCATTGTCATTTAGGTACCATTTGGTACGTGGGACGGGACGGAACAAAGTGAGACTAGGCGTTCCGTCCCACGTTTGGTGAGCCTAAAATGGGTGGAACGTGCTGTTCCATGGGACGAGTTTTGAGTGAATTTTCTTTCGACCTCACCCCTCTTGGAACGACTCGTTCCACATCCGCGGAACACAAAATTATAACATCTCCGTCTTCTTCTTCCTCCTTGTTTCCATCCGAGGGCATCTTTGCTCTCTCTCTTCGTTCTGTCTCGTCCCATCTGCATACCAAACGATACCTTAGTACCTACACATTACCGACTTATTAGCATTTTAAAAACTGTGTTGTGCCTACCTTGGATTGAGTTTTTGTTTATCTCATTTCCACTTTTTGAATAGGTGGCAAGCTTTTGTTATACGACGGTGTCATGAGAATTGTATTTTGGTTACAGGACTACGTCTCTCGCTCTTCCCTCAAAGGGAGACCAACTCTTTACACAGGACATGGCCGTTGTTTAGGTTGGATGAGACCCAAATATAGCCTTATGTTTTTATGATAGACACCACATGATCGGAAACCACCCAAAATCTTCTCCAACTATACAATTAAATTTTAAGTTACTTGTAATCTCTAGTCCATTAAAAGAGTAATTCATATTCGTCAAAAAGGGGTTAATTGAATTGGTAACGATTGTTCTTTTTGCTAGAGTAAAGTCTAGCTGACATCAATTCCTTTTGGTGGGTGGTCTGTAAAAGTAAAAAAGGGGCTAACATGCCTTTGTAAGACTGTAAGTCTTCAAAGAAACTTGTAGTATGTCCTGACTCTTGAATAGAATAGCCTTCCCCTAACTTTTTTTTTAACAAAAAAAAGGTGTCATAAAGCTTATGGAATCTAAAAACTAGTATTTATCTTTACATTCGAGATTCTGGACGATGATGATTAGTGCAACTATTTGCACATCCACATTGAGATTTGAGAAGGGGAAAAAGCCATGTTATGTGACAAATCTCTTAATCATGATGTCCATTTCTCCTTGCTACCACAAGGTTAAAGATAGGGTGTCAATTTTCCCTTCGAGTTTGTGTCTGACCATGCTGGGCCTAGTGCTGAATGATATGGGGGAGGGAGGGACACAATTTTACAGGCACAATTTGATGCCCACGCGCAAGGGGCCAAGGCACAATAACTCTCTCTCTCTCTCTACTTTCTCTCTCCCCTTCCTTCTTTCCCGAAGAGGGTGACCCCCCTACGCACCCAAAAGGAAAAGATTGAACATCAAAAGTATGGTAAACTCTCTGAATTATTGGGGGAAGACAAAAGCTTGGGAAAGCGACCCTTCCTCTCTCCCCCTGTACTACCCAGCAAAAAGCTGTCCCTCCCCATTGCACAATCGGGAGGGAAAGAGAGATTAAAGCACAACTAGCCCATCACTCCACTACATGTAGGTTCTACCGTTCTAGAGTCCAGGGACTAATTTATCCTCCCACCAAAACCTACTATTTCTCTTCCTCCTTGGGATTATTGCCCTGCTGCTGCTGCTCTGCCGAGATGCCTAGGCCGGGCCCGAGGCCGTATGAGTGTGTCCGGCGAGCTTGGCATAGCGATAGGCACCAATCCATTAGAGGTTCCATCATTCAGCAGATTTTCAGGTACTGGGTCCTCTTTGTTTCCATGGATTTCCTGGTAAAGGTGTCTGCTTTTTCACATTTTACTGACCGCCCACCACCTGTTTGATTAGGGTCGTCAAAGAGGTTCACAGCTCCGTAACGAAGAATAACAAGGAATGGCAAGAGAAGCTGCCTTTGGTGGTTTTCAGAGCAGAGGAAATTATGTATTCCAAAGCCAATTCTGAGGTTTTTCTCGTTTCCTTTTCGGTTTTGCATTCGCTCTTTTTGGTTGTTCCGTCGGTCATTTTTTTGCTTTGTTTTGTTGAAGGCTGAGTACATGAATCTCGACACGCTATGGGACAGAGCAAATGATGCGGTTAACACAATTATCCGGCGAGATGAGGGCACTGAAACCGGGGAGCTTCTGCCGCCTTGTGTCGAAGGTAACATCGTACTGATTTCTTTGCAGTCTGTTGAATTGAACTGTGAAATTATGCTACTGGGTTGTTCTCATTTTCAATGTCTATTAGCTCATTGCTCAAGCTTAGTTTAGTTCGTAAGAAGAGATTATTGTGCAGAATGAATACACTAGAGGTGTGATTTGTATGTGTGTTTTGGTTCCTCCTCTTTATGTTGTTCAGCTGCCCTTAATCTTGGTTGCACTCCAGTAAGAGCTTCGAGAAGCCAACGCCACAGTAATCTGAGTTACCTCACTCCAAGAGCTCAAGACCCCGCTTCTACCCCCGCTAGGGTTTTGGATAAAACTACAGATGAACGGCGCCCTCAGTTTTCTCTGCATCACTCTAGCAATCAATTGAACTTTGCAAAAGCCTCAAATGTGAGTTCTGCGCATTTGGTCCCAGAATCTTACAGCCGCATCAACCAAAGTACTAACCTCACTAGCCCTCTGAGTTACCCTTTTGCACTTGAGAATGTTCTTGCTGGCCATAACCAGTTAGCAACAATGTCAACCAACAATCCCTTGAACTCGGGTTCAGTATATCCGTTATATTATGGAACTCACCATCAACCCCAAAAGCGCCAGGTCGTTCATCAGGCTCCAGAAAATACACATTCTAGGACTCTATATGTTGGTACTCCAATTGTTACATCAGTTATGGAGCCTACAAAGCAGAACCTTTTCTCCTCTCAAGGTGCTGAAAATGTGTCACACAGATTCACACAAGAAGTCATGGACACCCAGGAGAAGCCACGAGAAACAGAATGTGATTTATCATTGACGCTTGGTCCTGCTCTCCACCCATGTACTCAAAGAAGGTTGGCCAGTGAAATGGAAGATTTTGGTTCAAGAAATTCTCAAGAGGGGGGAAAGTTAAATGATGTTTCTTCACCGAGAAGTAAGGAATTCTGTTTCTTTCCCACAGAGACTGCTTATGATCGCGTTGAGTCCACTTCCAGTATGTGGAATTCAGAGAGCGGTCGTAGTTCTGAGGCAACTATAAGGAAGCGCAAGGCACCTTTTAGTACCAACGAGGAAGATAGACAATTTTGCTGGCAACCAGATGTCATTCCCAACAGGTTTACTGGTCGAACTACAGGGCCTGGTTTGTAGACTCTTTCCCTACTGTAGCATATATGCTTCAAAATCCGAGATGCCAATATATTGTTGAATCCTATTATGAGAGGCTCTCTTCTTATGTAGCTCTGATTGCGAAATTTATCTAGTTGATGTTAGTTGCTAGTTGCATTAGTGGAAAGATGTGAGTTGTAAATGAAACTTGAGTTGGATTCATATCGTAGAACAATGTCCTGGTATCATAACTAAAGCTTGAAACATCGAACTTCCAGATCATTAAAGATGGAAGTAAAAAGAAGCTTCGTTTTTGCAGGACTGTGCTGTGATAAATTGTACTCCTCTCTGAAAAATTGGCATAACGGTCTGGGGCGTCCACACGGATGGCTTCTTTCCAACAACTTCTTTACCGCAGAACCCTAGAAAATTATGTCTTAGGTAACTTATTGTGCATTGTTTGATTCAGATAATAAGTTAGCCGTTCTTTTAAGCTTATATGTTGAGTAATGAGATTAAGTGCTTATCCGGCCCCATTGTGTTATCGATTTCAAGAGAAATTCTTTGCCGTTTTGCTTCGTGTATGATTTTGTCATAGATTTGCCTGATCACTAGCTGAACTCTTTGAAGGGTTTGTAAAGAAGCACTTCTTCCGGCTGGAACGATGTGTAGGGGGTTCTTTTGATACAATGTCGAATCTTCTTAATTACGAGAGAACATTCTTTTAATGTATCTCCGATGTGCTAGTGTGTTGGTGCTGCGTTTGGTACGTGGGACGGGACGGGACGGAACGGGACGAGGCGTTCCATCCCGCGTTTGGTGCGCCAAAAATGGGTGGAACGGGTTGTTCCACGGGACAGATTTTGAGTGTTTTTGCGTTCCACCTCCCCCCCTGGAACGGGTTTGTTCCACGTTTGTGGAACGCAATGTTTTACCATTTTAAGACAAATATACCCCATGTCTTTTTCAAAAATTACACCTTCGTTCCGTCCCGTCCCGTCCCGTTCCGTCCCGTCCCGTTCCGTCCCGTCCCGTCCCGTTCCGTTCCGTTCCGTCTGCGTACCAAACGCACCCCAAGTGTTAGTGTTGTACTGGAGCGTAATGTACCATTCCGATGATATTGTAATGTACTACTCTGTCGATTTGAAAAAAAACTGCTTGTACACACACCTATTGAAGAAAAATTTGAGTCAATTGTAACAAAACTCAAGGTTGAAACTTTGTCGAACTAACTGAAGGTCGGAACTTTGTTCGAACGATTACATAGGACAAGTAGAAAGAACGAGAATTCACATGTAAGTGAGGAAAGAAATTATTAAAAACCAAAACAAAAAGTAGAAAGAGCCAATTCTCAGAGAGGAAGCACCGGAGGCTCGTGGTGGCGGTAGAGCGGAAGGAGGAGAGAGTAGGGAAATCCGACGGTGAGAGTGACCTTTTGGCCCCGCTCGTAGTTATCACCAACGGAAGAGATGAAGTAGCTTATAAAAACTATATAATAAATGAACTTTATTGCAATATAGCTTATTTTATAAATAAAATAGAGGATTAGACGATATTAATTTCTTGGAAACGACTGCTAAGCTTAAGCGACGAAGGAAATTACTGCTACAAGTGTGGGGAAGAGCCCAACGAAAGTACGAAGAGTAGTGGTAGTGAGATGAAGCGTGGGAGGATGGTGGTGGAGGAGCTAACAGAGAAGAGGTGGTGGTTGGTGATCCAACGGTGATGCTGACCTTTTGGCCTTGCTCGCGGTGGTCACCAACGGTGCAGATGAAGAAGCGAGAACTGGTAGAATTGAGTATCGTCCTTATTCCTGGTCCCAGTACGATCCCGGGGTCACTGCAGCTATCATATTCTTCGTTTGTTGCTATTTCCCCCACATTATGGTCCCACGTTTCAGTCCAATTGAACACTGCAATGCCAAAAAATCACAACAATAAGTTTAACAACAAAGATATATAAATACTCATATGAACTTGGACACAAGAGCCAGGAATAATTAATGCCCCGGTTCGGTTAGCTGACCTAACTTACGTCTAGTTGTTACTGGAAATTGGAAAGCGCACTAACCAACTGTATCTCCTATTTGGAATGTCTTTGAGGCAGCGCAGTCGGAGTAAACGGCGGTGTGTAAGGGCAAGCCACCGCCATACTCACCAAGCAAGCCATCATCATATTAATATCTCTGCGACTGCCCGTTTCCTTACGCCTGGTGAATATTTTGATCGGCGTACGTGTTTTTCGGCGATCTGCAAGTACTTTTTCTTGGATCGACGTTCGTGTTTTTCTTTTTTCGTTTATAAATATGCATGCGTACGATTTATGAAATCAAATTTCTAATAAATTAACTATATATGTTGCATGTGTGGCGGGAAAACCTTGAAAACTTTGAACAAGTTGAATATAACCCTGCATTGCCTGGTGATTTTGATGCACTCTAAAAGAAAAAGGAAAAAAATCATCAAGTTTTACCAGTTCCATCGTCCCAGAGTCAAAGACTTACGGGTTCACCGAGGGACGCCCTTGGACTCCCACACACAACCTGGTCTATGAATCTACGATTTCTTCTTTTTAACTTCTAGTTTTCAAAGAACTATTATCTATGCTTGCTATACTTTAAAGTATAAACGTGTTATTTATTCATATTATAACACGTAACTCTAGCCCCAATAACACTCAACTGAAAAATTATCTGGTAGGGAAGGAATAAAAAAGAAAACAAATTACACGTGTGAAAGATGTCTTGTCCTTGACCTTGTCCATGCCCTCCTAAAACTGATGGACTTGCTCTAAGCTGCCATTTGTATTCAGACATGCCCTGGTCTAAAAAGACTCTAATTAAGCCGACTGCAGTCGTTTGAGTTCAAGTGAGGTATGCAAAAGAGAATGTTTCCAACTTCAAATGTTTACTTAACCCTCGTCACAAACGGGTGCCAAAGCAACGTTACCGAGTTTTGTCACCTTTGCCTAATCCGTGGCTATAAGTATCATATTTTGGCTTTCTCCTTCTGCACAAATATTCAAATATCCAAATATCCAAATCACACCCTGATAAGTACCGTGCCAACTGGATCGCATTGACATGAAGCTGGCCAACGTGGCCAGAAGCTAGTCAGTAGCGTTATCGCCGGAACTAACCTATCGTTCCTAGTCCGACTGTATCCCCACCAGCACCGCCGCCGCCAAACTCCACTTACCAGCTCTAACACCTGTTGCCACCGCTTTTTCTATTTGTTATCTCCACCATAGTCATGTCTTTCTTCTTGTACTTGCATCTAAATATTAACTCTATAACGTGTATATTTTTTTATATCAGTAATGCTAATTGATCACATCTATGTCGAATATGATAATGCTTGTGTCCCTCACATGGGAGACTTGCTGGTTTGATATTGCTGTGCTTTGAAAAAAAACTATTTCTGCTGTGATGTGAGAATAAACCGCTGTGAAATAAAGCAGCAAAGTGTTTGGTAAACTTTTTTGTAAAAATGCTTTTGAAAAAAAAAAACAGTATTATAGTGTTTGGTAAACTTTTATGTAAAACAGATGTGAAAAAAAGCCGGTTTTTCAAAGCTGGGTTTTGCAGCTTCTTGTTTTTGGCTTTTTTTCATCCAAAATTGTGAAAAAAAGCTGAAGCTGAATGTTTACCAAACACAAAAAAGCTCCAAGCTTTTTTTTATACCAACTTTTTTGAGAATCACCTCAGTACCAAACCAGGTCTTACTTGTTCCCTCAATTACGATTAACGAACCTTTCTCTTTATCATCATCTAAAGACATATCTGCAAAAAAAAAAAAATCATTCAATTTGTGATCTTTTAACCATTCACATGTATAAAATAAATGGACGGTTCATTATGAGGATGTTACTTGTTACCAAAACCGTTGATTTACATAATCGTAAATGGGGGGACACAATCATTATCATATAAAATATATGACCGCTTTTGTTAGAAGGTGATCAACAATAACATATGGTGATGTGTGATTAATTTAAAATATATATTGTCATTGACTCACTCTAGCCGTTCTAATTTCACGTAAATTCTTTTCTTATTAGAGAAATGATACATAATGTAGAACAAGGCCAGGGCCGGCCCAGGCCCAGTGCAGGAGGGGCGACCGTCCAGGGCCCAAAAAAATTAGGGGCACCAAAATTATTAGGGCGGTATGTTTATATATGTTTTTATAAGAGTATAAATTTATAAAATTTGATTCAAAGACATAGAAATTTAACTAGAAGTGGTGGTTTGTCATTTGAAAATAATAAGGAGGTCTTGGGTTCAAAACACCATGTGTGCTTATTTACTTTCCTTTTTTTTACAAATTTCTTTTTATAAGAGTATAAATTTAGAAAATTTGGTTAAAGGATCAAGAAGTTTAATTAGAAATAATGATTTTTTGTTGTTAAAATTAAAAAAGGTCCTAAGTTCGAAATGCTATGTGCATGTTTATTCTTTTCAATTTTTACAAATTTTTGTTTGGTTGGTAATTTATTTTTAGTTACTATCTAGTAGCTATGTGGGTTGTTATTTTTTAAATATTCGTTTTAATTCAAGTCTAATCTTCAACAAAGAATAATACGTAGACCAAATTTGCAAATTAATATATGACGTGTCATCAAAATGTTTTAATTTAGTGCCCATTCATTAATAATACATATCAATTAAAGACTCGAAAACATCATTATTTTTTAGTCCCATATTGACAAGGTTAGTAAATAAGAAAAAAACACCTCACGATTTATTCAAAAATACATTCAAAGTTCAAATGGAAAACAAAACTCATCATCTATCTACTTGTAAGCTCGAAGTTTTTTTGTTTCCCTCTCTCAATACAAAATAAATTAGTCTTTCTGTATTTCTAAATTATTGAGTTTGAAGTGTTTTTCTAAGTATAATTTTTTCGATATCTTATGTGTAAAAATAAATAATTTTCTTACATAAAGTTAGGGCACTTCTTTTTACGTCGCCCCGGGCCTCAAAAATCTCTGGACCGGCCCTGAACAAGGCACACCACTCCATATATTAATTTAACAAAAGTTTTGTTAAGAACGTTCTATCGATCATATAATAAAAGCGTAAATCATACAGCATGGAATAAAATTATTTAAACTTGTACTGATTGACCAGGCCCAGCTCAATTGACAAAGCTAGGCTTAATTTATTGCACTGTTGGGGGCCTTATGTTCCACGTCGCAAATTGATATGTAATGGTACATTTTGCGAGAATGTGAGACCAAATTATGCTAAGTGATTATAAAGAGTTGAGTTATTTTGACAATATTGATTTTACAAGAAACCTTAATTTTTTTCATGGTATTATAGCAAGTCCGCCCATGTGTGATGTCTATTAGCTACACGTGCTTCACGTCATCTAATTTATGTTTTCCACGTCTTAAGCTTGAAAACTCGCTACACGTGAGGGGGCGTGCGAGAATGTGAGGACAAAGTCTCACATCGGTGATGGACCACAAACATATTGCCAATTAATTATAAGATGGAACCTCAACTTTCTTCACATTCAACGTTTCCAAAAGAAAAGAATATATATTATTGGGATGCAACTGT